TGCTGCAGACCAGGGATTGCCAAAGCGGTCTGTTATGGCAGAGTTCTCAAAGATCCTTTGAGTCAGAACCTCTTTTGTAGTGCCTGGTGGTTCCAACGAGGAAGGCATAACCTGGCTCCATGCCTTAAGAATCACTTTCCAAATTGGCGATCGGAACTGGGATTTAACAAAGGATGGGGTCATGAGGGCAACCCAGGCGCTGTGACGAACTACTTTTATTACCGCGCGGTTTTCTGCGCTAGGCTGCTGGGGGGGGGGGGGGAACGACAAGTCGAAACGGTGAGTTGTGGAAAGATGGGTCGGGTGGGCTAGTTGCATGAATGTCCTCGTTTTTTTTCGTTTTCTGCTAAAAGTTGTCAGATTGATGTCGGAAAAATCCCGGACCGCCGGTACCGGCAGTTGGATGGTTGTGCCATGACGGGCGCAAGAAATAACTGTACCATAGCTTCTTTCTTGTTTTGCTGTGAGCATTAGGAATTTTGGCGCGATTGGCGCGCGAGAATTTTCATTTTTGAATTTTTAACTGATGCCGAGCCCCCGCGGACTCTCGAAATTGTTTTTCTTTTCGGAATTTCCCTTTGTAATTAGGACTTGGACTAGGAATTTAGGTACTCTGAATTTTGTCGCGCAGCGTTCGCATGCATCTTGTGGCGCGAGAAACTGGTTTTTGACTGGATTGCGCCTTTAATTTTGTGCAACTATCGTTTTTGGCAGGCGTGATCGTAACTGTAATCCTTCTTCTTTCTTGGTTCTCTATTGTTGCCCGTCTTCTTCTTCTTTCTCGTCTCACATGCTGTATTCTAATTGGCCGAAGCGCTTGCGTGACCGGATCAATGCGTGGAGAGTGGCTACTAGTACGACCCCCACACCGCGGCCTGGCCATGCAATCGTAGGCACTTCCTCTCTTCTCTTCTTGTCCATCTGGGCTTAATCTCGTACCTTTCGCGCAGGCATGCATGCTATAAATTTCGCAAGCGCGATTAATTTGCTCTCTAAGAATTTCGAGGTTAGTGCGATCAGTGAGGGTTGGCTAACGAGCAAGTTTGGAAGGTGAGTGAGTGTGAGAGTTGGGCGATCCGACGAGCTGATGTAGGGTATGCGGGGTTCGGACTGTGGCGCACGGACGAACCTGACTTGCATGCTTGAACCAAGCGGGGTGACAAATCTGTGTGGATACGCGGCGATGGACTGTCGATATCGTGGGCGTTGATGCGAGGCGACGGACTGCCCCCAACGGGAAAGAGAGAGAGAGAGAGAGAGAGAGAGAGCAGTGGTGTGGGTGTGGGATAAGGCTTCTTTTTTGGTGTTCCTTTCATTTTCCTCTGTTCATCTGTATAATTTTGGATTCTGATATGGCCGATCTCTTTATCACGACCCTTCTCTTTTGAACCTCTCTTGTACCTTGTCTCGGATTCTCCTCGTTGTTTTGCTCGGTATGTATGCATGAAATGAATGTAGGTTCTCTTTTGTTAGTGATGTTTCTGATCTGTTTTACGATGCCTGTGTTGTCTTTGACTAGTGTTCGCCTGCATGAGCTATGCGATCAGGCCTGATAGGGAACGCTCACTTGGGATGTCTGAAGTCTAACTGTCAATTATCCCCTCTTTCCTCCTTTTTGCATCACATGTATGACATGTAGTGATTGGTAGGATATTTGCACTTATGGTTGAAAGCGACCGGCACACGGAACCAATTGGTTGTTCCTTACGTGCACGTGTGCATACGTTCGCGATCTCGAGAGAGTCGAGTCGCCACGTACGCACTCGCCCGCGTAAGCCAGCCTTAACCTTGTGTAAGGATGTGGGGGATGCGGCTTACTAAACAGACATGGCTGCAAGATCTCCTTCCTGGGCGTCCAACTACGAAAATTTGAGGGATCCGGAATATCGCGAGTATCGGGAAGGCGAACAACTCAGATGGCGGGGAAATTTAAGAAATTCGGAATTCCCTTGCCTAATAGAAAATGATTGATTATGCACCAGGGATTTTCACTGTGCCATAACTAGCGACCCCAGGTGCCCCGACTATCCGAAAACTTATAACACGCAATATTTCATATCCCCCGACTTTGTCGTTATTACTACCAACTTCCCTCCCTTCCATCTCCTCCTCCCATATCACCAACTCACAGTGGTACCGTGGAATTCCATAGCTCGCTACTGGCCCCGCCCGCCGTGCGAGGGTTGTCGGTATCACTGGGCGCGTCGAGCTTCGGGAACTACCCGACGGGCCCGAACCGAAGCTGAACAGCAATTGCACAGCCTCCGCGTACGGCCCGCCTCGGCGGAATCCGAAGCCTGCTACGAGTGGCGCCAACAACTGGCCGAACCGCGTGACCAACCCCGAAGACGAAATCAGCGGCGATGGTGATTCCTTTTTCTTTTTGGCCTTAAACGTTAAACCTGTTGGCAGGGGCAATGTTGTTGGGATCTTGTTCGAGAATGCAAGAATGTTTAAATCTCTCGATACGGCAATAGCAGGAAAGTGCCCCGGATTTTTAGCCTGGGATACACTGCGCAGGCCATCTGCCTCATGCCGCGCGACATCAGCTACCTCCCCTCTGAGTATACCCCCTTTTGCACCTGTACCCCTGAAACTTGCCACAGGAGATCGCAGTTCCGACCTGGGACTCCACCCCCACTTTCCTAAAATCCTTGGCACACCCCTTTTCGCACTTCCGGGCCCCCATCCCACTCCGATCAGGAAGTCGCGCCGGGCGTGAGGTTGGGCGTCACACTGCGATACCGTACTGGAAATGAAAAAAAACGCAGCTATTGTTTTGGGCGCATCTGCCCATGTTCTAGCGGGAAGTTCATTCTCATTTTGCACATTTCGAGGTTTGTGACTAAGGGGGGGGGGGCAGTGTCCGACCCCGAATTTGGCGCACAGCACCAAACTCGGACTCGGTGTCAGACACTCTCTGATGCCCTCTGTGTGTGTGTGTGTGTGTGTGTGTGTGTGTGTGTGTGTGTGTGTGTGTGTGTGTGAACCTCTCACGAGAATGAATCTTCCTCTTCATTCTCGTTGGGCATGTCTGATTTCAATGGCTTTTTTTT